ACAGTTTTGAGGACCTCAGTTTTGAATGTAGCTGTTYACTGGGGCAAAGCAGGTGACATTGACAGGTTTTTCTGCCAATGTAAGTTTGAATCTTGCTGGTGTTGCATGTGCTGCCATGTCATTCTGTAAGGGTAAAGCACATTCCTRAGTTAAGCTTTGCCCAAGGATGAGGGATGAGGAGTTAGCAGGGAGCATCAAACAGGAGTCATTTTCCTATTAGCTCATTTTGCTCTGTGCAAATATCAGCCTTGTGCATTTGCCTGTCTGTTCACACAAAACAAGCTGCTCCTCTTAGTGACTTGCCTGTCTGTGGGTAGSAACATTATCTTGTGAGTAATATCAGAAAGTCAGTATTTACCAGATGTATTTGCCTCTAAGAATTCCTGTTCTGCCTGTAAGAAAAGGTCAGGGTAGTTACCACTGCATAGTGAGTTAGCACATACTGATGTTCTTAATTTGTGCTGATTTTTTTTTCAGATTTCACCCATGGCAAATATAATTTCTTCTTTGCATACTTAAGTTAAAAACTTAAGCTCTGGGAGGTTAATGAACTTGTTTGTTCACACTGTTCTAATAGATTACATGCCAGAGTAGGAGCCAAAAACATGAGTTCTCACTGTGGTTCTGACATGCACTTGCAATGTAAGAGAGCTGTTCCCTGAGGTTCATTTTCCCAGACAGACAATGAACTATGGGTCTCTTCATCTGAGGTTAATTGGAGTCTCTACACCTTTCCTTAATTTAAAGAAATGCCCTGAGGAAATTGATGCACCAAATGTGTCTCAAGAACTTTACATCCAATTTAAGGAGGAACTGAGAAAGACAAGTGCTAAATTGTGAGCCCACCAGACACAGTAGTGCATACCAGGTGTGTGTGTACTATGAATGCTTTCCACAAAAAAAGCAAAACCACTGCCACTCTTAGCAGTTTCTGATTCCTGAAAGTTCTGAGGTAGTTCACATGTTAGACCCAGTAGGACCAGGATACTTTCTAGTTCTAAAGACCAAGGTACTCTGTAATGAAAAATATTGATTTTGCAGCTTGAAAAGTCTACTCACTTTTGGCTGAGAAAACAGAGGGCAAGCACCGTAACAGTTTGTGCAACAGGACAAGGGAGCAGCCTCCTGCTGCCCCAGCACTTTCCTGAATCAACAAATAATGAGCCAGATGAAAAAAAGGCCTGCAGTTTTTAAAGGATAGCTCTGAAACTGAAGGGTTGTCTCAGGCATAATGCATCGCTTCCTGCTCCTGAGAGGAGGAAGGTCAGTGTAAACTCTTGCTCCTTCCTTCATGCCCTGTGGGATACCTTTGGAGCATCCATAACGTTGTCTGCATGTACCTTAAAAAAAGGGAATGGCAGCATGAWATGGGACCCACCGTGAACCCTGAGGCAAAACATGGGGACCTGCTGTGAAAGGCACCCTGTGTCCTTAGCCCCTAGGGATCAGAGTACAATGCCTGTGGGAAGAGGGGAGGCAACCCCATAAGGATTGAGTCTTCTGTCTTCTCTGGGGATTTTCAGGTTCTAGACGTTACCCTGGATCAGTGACTGCAGAGCCAAAAATCACTAAGAAAACACTGAGTAACYGCTGTGAGTGAATAGGGCTCACACATCTGGTATCATCTCCTTCTGCTTGCTCTGGCAAATTACTTTCRTCCATATGTTGTTTTCTTGAAAACATGCAAGATGGGAAAGTAGTAGTCTGTGGTTGTAGGACATAAGCCTGTAGGTGTAGGACATGGGTTTCTCTTCCTTTGGAATTCCTTGTTTCTTCTAAAGTTAACTCTGAGTCTCCTTGAGGACATAATAAATGCAAATAAAACCTGTCTTTCTTACACAAGCAGGAGTWTTTTCAGTTTGCTCTTTTAGGATGGTGGTAGTTCATGTTGGGTTCCTGAGTTAATCATGACTTCACAGGCGTTCTTTCCAAAAAAAGASTGTTTATTTTCAGATGTAAAACTGRAGTGTAGGAAGACTTCCTACAYTGATGTCACAGTGCCTCTCTCAGTATCACAAGGCAAAACATCATTCTGGTAAGTCAGTGGTTTTACTTGGAGCTGTTCCATACTGGAACCCCTGGGACAAGCGAGGTTAAAGGCATTCTCTTTTACCCTGGGTTTGGGTGTGCCAAATTCAAGATGTTTCAAAGCCAAAATGACATAACCCTCATTAAAAAAACCAAACAACAATAACATAAAAACCTAAAGAGGAAAGATCTAGATTCCWCATGGGAGAAGCATGAAATGCATCCTATCTGCTTGCAACCACCTGTGTCATTAGGCTAAGCAGAAAAGCCGGTTACTCACTGCAATTAAAGTTCAGTCCAAGATATGAACTACAGCACCACTATTAAAGAATGTCCTTGAGGCAACTCATCACATCTGATGTATTCTGTGTATTTTTGGAAAATACGTACTGAATCAGGTGAGAAGCAAAGCCTTTAAATAACCCTACAAATTTGAAATGTCAAAGAAGCACTTTTTAAAACATCTTTGGGAAAAGAAACAACATCTTTTGAAGTGGAGGCAGGTTGGATTTCAGAATGAAGCAGCTTTGCAGATTTAGACACCTGCTTAATTAGAGGATGAATGTAAAATCCTTAAAAGGCTTTTATGAGGCAGCACTTCAGAGAACAAGCATCCCTTTAGCATCAGCAGAGAAGAGCTGTTGGCTATTATCTTTGGAGCTGGGTCAAACCCGAATATRTTAGCAAAAAGCACTCTCCATACGTGGTGGGATGAACTGTAKGCAATTCCCGGACCTCAAACAGGAAGCATTTTCAAAGAGTCAGGAACAGCTGGAGTCATGGATGCTTTAGGAGGCAACACTCAAATCATCATGGAATCAAAATAAATGGAGTAAGAAAAAATGGGTAGGTAGATAGGAGGCACACAGTCATGTAAACACAATCAAGAAACATTTTGTTCATGATACTACTGTGGTTCAATGGTCTGTCGTACAGTCTTCAACCAATAGTACCAGAAAAGGAAAGAAAAGAGAAACCAGGTAAAACCTCTCCCACCATCTTCTAAGCAGGAAGAAAACAGCTGTTTTGACAGAGCAGTGAAGAAAAACTCATGAAAATTAGCTTTAAGAAATACTTGTAAGAGCAAGGGTCTCTTCTGTGTCACTTTAGGTAGAGGCCTCTGACAAAAACATTCCAGATGTTCTTTCCCCCAYTCAAAAGATGAAAAACTGCAAAGTTTGTAAGTGACAAGTGATGAGAACACTAACCTAACAGAAGGGGAGCTCCTTTTTCTAGTACACTGGCCTCTACGAAGACAGAGAAGTCATGTGCTCCTAATCAAAACCAGGGGAAAAGCTTTTAATAGGGCACAGTTATTGCAAGAACTCAGATCTGATTGTTTATGTAGGAATGGAAGCTTTTTGGAAAAGTCCTACCTGTTGTGGGAAGTGTGTGRCCTTTACCCAGGAGCAAGTATTACATCTCTTCAGTGGTATTGAGGGCTCCCAGGAGAGCAGGTAGGCACCTTTACATCTCCCTGTGTTTACTCCAAGAGAGGAACAGTAACGTAGTTATGTGCTGAAGAAACAGACCTTCCCTTGCCAGACTATGACCAAAATACTGAGAGTTCCTCAACAGTTCTCAAGGTCTGTATCCTTTATTCAACACATCATCTGAACAGATTAAAATATATTTAAGATTTTARAGCTTTGTAACTTACATCACTGATGATGAAAAACATTCAGARAAAAAGAAGAGAAATTTTAATAGACGATGACAGTTGCCTGCTTTGGAGTATTAATTTTTATTCCCAATCACAGTTCACTGTCTTTTACAAAGCACKCTGTTTAACTTTTCAAAGTAGCCTTGTTCTTCTTTTAAGACACTGTTTTCAGACTGTTTCTTTAAATTGCCTTTATCGTATTCCATGCTGAAAACAAATTGAAGAAAATTGACAAATTTATGCAATAAAAATATAAGAAGATATACTGCAAATAAAACACRTGCTTGGGAAACAAAAATACATATTAGAGCTTGAATACAGCTTAGGGCAAAACCAATCTATTTTGGAACTTAAAATACCCAAGATGCAACTAAYGTAAGATACAAATAGAGCAGTCTATTAATTCCTGTAAAATAAAATGAACTAAAACAGACTAAGAGGCCATAAACTAGTTATTAAAAAAGCTAAATGGCAAAGCATGTGTTTTACTAGAATTTCTATCTCAGAGTACTGTAAACATTCATAATGTATTATTTCTGATACCAAAGTACAGTAARTAGTTGTGCAAAGTTTAGTGTGCTGGCTTCCATTTTTATTCTAATATGGCTCCATAGAATAAGTAGGATAGGATAAACATTTTTCTGTATTGCTGCTCCAATTGCCTGCTCCCACCTGCAACTGAAGTGTTTTGGGAGGTTTCAACCCTGCTGCTCATTCCTAATGTCAAAGCTCAAATAAGTCAGTTAAATGCATCTTCTCATTTTTCAATGAGCCCCCACTGAAAGCCTGACTGCTTTCCTGACTGCTTTGTAGATTTGTCTGCAACTTTTGTCTATACATGGCTTRCCACCTGTGAGCCATAAACCTTAGCTTTTTTCCAGCCCCAAAACAGAACTAAAGGTAGACATGCTCTTTCATGACAAGCAGGTAAGCTCTGACATGTGCACCAAACTCAGCCCCACTCAGGGRGATCTATGCCTTTGTGAGGCCTAACGTCCTGCTTTGGTTTCCTTCCAAGCTGGATGTTTAGCATAATATAGAATAACATTTGTTTCTGCTTAGGAGGAAATTTAATTTCTTCTCTATAGAGCATCAGGCTGCAGTAACTCAGGACTTTGTCATTTTGCTAATCTGGAAACCCCTGGGTAATTTTACCTGAAACTCAATGCAAAGGCACACAAGCTTCAGCTGAGGCAGAACACAGCTGCTTGCCCTCTCTGCTGTATAAGCTTTCCTGACAACATCAAAGCCACCATCCACCTTCTGCAACAAGTCTCTCTTAGTTTTTGGGACCAGTTTAAGACCTATGTTTGAACATGAAACAGAAAAATCAAAGTTGATCTGCCTCAAAGCCTGATCTTTATCACCAAACCTTCTCTGAGAAAGAATTTCTACCCTAGGAGATACTCACAGAATAAATATCTCCTTGTAGCCTAGCTACAAGGTGTAGAACCAGCTGTTTCTGGAAAAGGCCCTTGCTGTGCCCCTGGAAAGGGAAAATGCCAGAAGACTTAGGGCATCCCACGTGTTACGGAATTGCTTTTCAGGCATGAGATACCATCTGACCAATGGCTGCGGCAATGCAAAACTTTGGCAAATTTTGTAATCACTGCAGTTGTTCTTGATTTTCTGTACTTGCGAAGAGATGGGCAGGAATTCCCATTCTTGGGCTAGATACTTCTGTCAGGGTAAATTTACATTGTTAAACTGAAATCAAAGGAGCTGTACTGATCTACAGGAATTGAGAGTCTGTTCCAACATTTCATACCCCCAAAAAAGCATCTTTTTTTATTTGTTTTCTCAATTTTGTATACATGGAGGTTGTAAATATTTGGTATTAGCATTATTGTTAGAAAGTTTTTGCGAGATCTCCTTTCCAGAAARATTGAATTATCTTCCTCAATATTCTGCACATTTAAATAGACCATTACTATACAYCTAGAAGCTTCCTTATAAGATTGAAGCAATCTGGTTTAATTTCCCCACGTTTAACACAGTGTTCTCAGCACTCTAGCATAGCAGTGCTTTTGATAGCCTCTGATTAGTAAAACTTCTAAACTGTAGATGCATGTACAGAAATATCAAAATTACACTAGGATGTATATTCTTGCAGTCTTATTACTTTCCTTTTTCATTACTGAACAAAACAGGCTACAAATCTGGGGTACTGCACTTAATTATAGGAAAGTGGYATCAGACTACTTCCATTTTAACTGCATTTAAAATGTCTGTAACTATTCTAGGCGCAGTAATCCAAAAGCCTAGCCTAGCTCATAAACCCAGAYGTATGAAAACGTGGTTTTGCATTCCCCTGAAAAGTCGTTTTAAAAACTGCATATTTGCAAGGAGTTCACAAAACTAGCAATGCATTTATTTTTCAAATGAAATGTCCATAGCCTGCAGAATAATTCAAACAGGTGCTAATTAGGTGTACAGAAARGCCACTGAGGATAATTTATGTATCCCCCTGCAAGAGAAAAAAGCCCGAATAAATATTAATTGCTTATATTATGCAACTAATTATTTTTAAGATGGCACTAAATTAACTGCAAATATTATAATTACAAAGTACTGGGTAATTTACAAAAGATTAATTGAAATGATTAAGTGCAAACAGCATAATTTTGCAAGTTGGTATTAATACTTTCTGCACGGAAAAAAAGACCAACATGGCTGTWAGTGGCTATTTAATGAAGTACTTCAAGCACATCGTGAGAGCATCAGTGGCCTCGCTTGAATGTGCCCTTCTCCTGAAAAGGTGTTACAGGATTTCTATGGGGGGAATTCATTGTAGTGTTGATAATTACCAGAATGCCTAAACCAGTCTATTTTAGGGACTGGATTTGATCTCAATGACACGGGAGCAACACAGAAATACTGCATCATGGTCTGTGTCCAGCAGCCTCTTCTGAAAGCTGCAGCATCTGCAGCTGCTTCCTGAATAAGTACTGAAGCAGTTGCACGTGCAGTTGGAATGCATTCCTTGCAAACAGCAAAAGGCCATCCACTTCAAGCGAGATACTTGGAAATATCATGACACAGCAATAGCTTTAACGCACTTTGCTGAATTCAGTACAAGCTTCCTGCATGCAGGCTTCCTATTCTGCTGTATGGAGGTGGACTGGTGATGAACCTGGAGAGGGGAGAGGGACTTGAAAAACTCTTCTAGTCCATGAGTGATTTGTTTCCTWGGAGTATTCTCTGTTTTAAATGCGGGATCTTTTTCTGAATTTATTCTCTCTCTATTGATTACAATCTCTCCACCGGCATTTGTATTTTTGGAGGCTTAATATTTAATACAATTCAAATTCAATTATTTAGAGAGTGACAGTGGGAAAYAGAAGAGAATTCAGTATTGGGAATAATTTTAGACTTCTGAAGCAATGGGAAGACATAATTGTGTTCTTTTTACTAACACATGTCAGAGCAGGAATGACATTGACTGTAAGATGTTTTACGTTCAATGACACAAGCCATATGCCATTAAAGAAGCACCAAGAGTAGTGAAATGCTCTAAAGAAAAATAAATACTTTGTCCTTTTGGACAGTTGTAACATTAAGCACTTAAAATGCTGTGATGCTCAATGTGCACGATAAGGAATGTCTCCTACAGCACTACACTTAAGTGAAGAGAAATGACCAAAGCATGTATCTATCAACTGATTTCACTTAAAAATGGGTAGACTGCTTATTGCATTTCAATAAAAGCTAAAATACCACTGACACCCCACTAGCTATCAAATTTTGATTGTAAACTTTGTTTAAAATGTGAAGTTCCATTTAGGAATGTAGGAWCTTTCTGGATTTTTGTCCTACTCAGTATCTCACTTCAATGTGTCTTTCAGCTCCTTTCACTTGAATAAACCTTGCTTAAACCTCATCATGTGCAATACTGAATAATAATATCTCAGTAAATATGGGCAAAAAGGCTCAACTAACATTAATATCAGGTCTGTGCACAACATCCATTAGGACATTGAGAAGAMACACAGRATTAGAGAGTCAAATTTAAAATTATGATACACATTGCAGTCCTGGTACCAAAAGGAAATAGGGTGATATTAAATACAGATCTGATTGAAGAGATCAGAGAGATGTGAATCTCACAGCCAGATACCCATACACAGAGCCTCTGAAGTCAATGCAGATGGACAGTATTATTTGTGGTCCCCTTATCAAGCTCTGACAGACATTTTTACCTCAAAAGGTTCATTACTGAGAGATCAGAATCACAGTTCYTTATGCAATGACAAAGTTACACTAGAAGACAGGGCTTAGCACTGGCAATATGCAAGCCAGAAAAGAAGTGTGAGAGGCCAGACTGTGCAAAGCATCTAAACTGCAAAAAAAGTCCAGTTCCTAGCAGGTGTCTGTGAAGTTGCGTGAAAATGCAGTCTTGATTCTCTGCTGCTCTTTGCCTGTCCAGTCTCCAAGAGAAGACTTGGAGAGGTGTAAAATCTGCTGGAAATTAGCTGAGGACTCAGGGCCTCAGAGAAGCCAGCAGGAGGCTGCCATGCCCTGGTGCCCTGCAGCCAGACAACCTGTCTCTGCCCACCCACCTTCCCTCCTTCCCTCTTTCCCTGGTGTTTTCACAGCCAGGAAGAGGACTGGAGACACAGGGACAGCGACACAGAGCCTGAAGAGCAGTGGAACACTAAGAACTGACACTGTGCCCATGGCAGCTTTGTCTTACTTGGTAAAAAGCCCGCATCACTACCAACAGAAAATTGTACATTGATTTTACTCACAAATGTATGACAGCAGTTATTTTCCAATGCTGGCATTCACAAATGTGGGCACAGCAAAATATTAAAAGAAAGTCATAGCAAAACAATAAACAACCAGAAAGCAGTGGCTAAATACAATTCGTAACTGTTAGGCAARGCTACAGCAATGGTATTAGACTGGTACCTTATTTTACACTGAGATTACATAGCCAAGTTCAAAAGTATTTTAAATTTAGACCTTTGTAATTACATTGTAATTACAGTGTACTGCATAACAAACTAAGGCTTTGTAAAACAGGTATCTTATTCATCTGAAAACGAATGCTTCCTTTATCTGACAYGACCAGTTGGTTTTGCCTTTGCTGGTGTAGATGTCTTGTTTAATAGAAAACATACTTTTTAAAATATGTAAATGCAATTGATCCTGAGGGAAAAAAAATCATAAACCACCRGTAAAAATAAATTGCATTGCCCTTTAAAATGGCACCGTTTTTGATGCTCACTATGAACATATTTCATGCATATTTGACCAGAACTCTTTTTACAGTGTGGAAGTGTTTTTGCATGAAATATATTAATTGATATGGAGTCATCTTCCCTCCTGGAACAATTTGTATCTATTAAAATACTGGTTGAATCCAATGAAATTAGTTGATTTTATCTCACCCCATGATTTGAACTTGTGTTTTGTTACAGAAACTTTTAAAGGGCTGTCTTGTTTGGCTTGAGAGATGAATACAAATATTTGCCAACCAATCCACAAATTCAAATACTTGATTTTTCAGAGGTTTCTGTTTARCAAAATTATGACATTTAGCAACAACAAATAATCCCCTGGGTGAGTTATTCCAACTTGCCTCCAGTGGAGCTTCTGCAGCTCCCTCTGCTGCAGTTGAACGTGTGGCTGGTGGGATCACTGCTAAAACCTCAGAAACACACCTGGGTCTGGGTGTTCAAGTTCCCTCTCTGCAGTGAGAAAATGTGGAAATTCCAAACGGCACAGCTGACATCTGGCAGGATCAGAGCTCAGCCCTGCAACCTCTGTCCCACAGGAATCCTGATGGGGACTTCAGGGTGCAAACTKCACTTGCCTGAACGATGACTGAGCATTGTAAGCGTGAAAACACTAAATCAGGAGTCAGGCTGACAAGCATCAGATATGAATTGCTCCAGTGAAGCCAGAGGGTGGCTGGTGTGAGCTGAGGGGCAGGTGCTGAGTGTGAGCACCCACTGCACTTTTCTTTGTGTGCACAGAGAGCTCCCTGCCTAATGCAGGATTCTCTAAGATTGCCAGGCATTATAGACCTCCACTGTACAAATGGCACGACCTGCACTCCTCCTCAGGTAAAATACCACTTTTCCAGAGGGCTCTGAAAACTAATACAAGAAGCAGCATTTTTAATTATGTTTCCATAGACTGGTTCAGCTCACAAGCCCAGGAAAACAAAGGACAGCCATTTAAATACTTCTGGGAAAACTGATTTTCTCTTATCGGACTGGGAAGCACTCCTTAGGGATATCAATATCCTTACCATTGTAAAAAATCAGAATTAAAATGCAAAATACTTCATGCTAATGCAACTATCTTCTCCATTTTATCTCCTTGTTTCAACACAAAAACTGAATTATCTTTTAGAAAATGTAGCTGCTGCCACTTCAAAGACACTGCCTTTGCAGCTGGGTGCATCCATGGTTCTGATCATACCTTTATGTTGTAAATGTGATCTAGGAGCCAAAATTGGAAATGCAACTCCAGCCCCACCTGTGCAGACATAAATGGACATGTTCACTAATACTGTCTGAAAATGTGCAGTGTAGTGAGCCTCTGTTCACTTACTGTCCGCTTGTTCTGTACTATTGTCACCTCCCTTCTGATGACATCCAGCAGTAATAGTGGCCCATGGCACCTTCTTCGAGTCAGGCTTTTAGAATAAAAGTTGCCAATAAAATGCCTGAAGCTGGTTAGTGAGATACAGGGCTCTTCTTCTGAGTAATCTCAGTGACTGTGTAACRCAAAGTATTAAAGAGATGTTTTACAAAAAACCAAAGGCAAGTGTTTTACATTAAATCTTACAAAACTGTACATAATAATAGTCTACAACATGAAAATGGCCATTAAACGGTTGTAATAGTTATGAAATGTAGTAAATATAACAATTCTAATGTTTCATATGTTTATCATATTAATCACTGTATTCATACAGTTGTGGTTGTATACATATATTCAATGGCACTATAAACAGTTGTTGGAAAACACACATTAACTCTTAACCCATTAGAAGTTATTATAGTACTTTTTTATCCAAAAAGTTAGAATGCATCAATATATCATTGATTTAAAAAAACAGCCTTGTGATATAATGCACATTTTACATTTTCTAGCAATCAAGATAAAGCATAACAGAGAATGTTCTAGATTTCAGAATGTTTTACATTTACACCTAACGTGATACAAAATTTTAAACATTAAATGTAATTAAATAATACACAGTTTATGAAACAGTTGATTTCGGACATCCATAATGCAYAAAACCTAGTTAGTGACTAATGGGAGCTCCCAATAATTTATATCTCTGGGATCTTTATGGAAAATTTAAGTTGATTTCTATGTAACATCTCAGAGGCAAAGCAAATTTGAACTGAATTATCTTTTTTTTTTTTTTTTGTTCTACACAGAGCTGCGTTCAAGTGGATAAAACATCATTATGTTTATTTATGTTTCCCTTTGCTGGACATTCATCCAATAAGCTTTGAGCATATGCTTAAGCATCTGGTAATGACATTTTGTTGGGCAGGGAAACTCACTATCTATGTCCCTCAGTAAACAAAGTGGTTCTATTTTTTTCCACAGTTAAGGCAACTATACTGATATATTAGACACACCATATGTTTTTATGTTGCTTCCTACAATCTAAACAATAAGAGTGAAAAGAAGTTTCAAACATGCTTTGACCTTCTTGACCACTCAGGAATTTCATCGAGCTGGTACAGAACTCGTCACTGTACAGGGGAGCAACCTGGTCTGCTGGGAGGTGTCCCTGCCCATGGCAGRGGGGTTGGGATRAGATGGTATTTCAGGTCCATTCCAAGCCCTTAACATTCTATGATTCCAWGAATTGTAGAACATCTTGTTAAAAACAAAGGATTGACTTGAATTTGAAGACTGACCATTCATATAACTTAGCAGAAAAATTAAACAAATAAACAACAGCCAGTCAGAGAGAAGCAAATGAAATTGATAAAAACAGTAACACACACATACACAATTTCTGTGTTTTCAATTATTTCTACCCCATAACTTAAGCTATTCAGACCCTTGTGATCATCCTCTCTGTACCTTGGGTGGGCTTTGCCAAAGTCTGTCTTCAGACATTGTAAGTGATGACACTTGGTATCTGCYAACTCCAGCATATCCCTTCTTATTTATTCTAACATACCACATCAACTARAGAGCCATTTCCATTTGTTTCCAGTCAGGTAAGGCTGCAGGTATAAATGACAGTGAACAGGAGCACTAGCACAGCATCTGCACAGCAACACAGCTACAGGGGACAGTGCCACAGAACTGCTAGTGCTGCCAAAACAGCAAGGGGGRCACTCAGGGCTGGGCTGCTCCCATTTCCAGTTACACTGTGTTTGGAGGATGACTTGACAGTGCTTGTGGTGGTTGTGGTGTCCATCTTTTTCATGGTTGGTTTTGGTTCGTTTCTGTTTTCTGGATGGTTTTTTCTGTCCTTCAGTATATCTGAAAACATGAAAGCAAACRTAAGGTTAATCACACGTATTAAACAGTGCTTCTGCCCATTGCTGGAATGTGTTGTACACTCACTGTGAATAACTGAAACATGGATGGAGACTGATGGGGCACTTGCACTGATGTTTTAGTTGGACTCACAGTGGCTGCTCTGTCCTCAGCACYCACGGTTTTGCTCAACAAGTCGTCTCTGCCTGCCCGGCTCTCCTTGGCTGCTCACAGACACAGCCTGAGCAGAATAATAGGTGTTCTGCATTGCAGTGGCTRGGCTCAGAACCTGATCTTCTCTCACAGAAAGTACCTGCATTTTCACCTGGGATGGGACGCAGCTCATGCTTTAAAACAGGATGTTAGGACTCAGTGGTTTTGCAATGTGTCGCAGTAAAACACCCTCCAGGTTGATGGCTTGCTGCAGGAGATTGGATATTGACTTAACAGAATCCCAGAATGGTTTGGGTTGGAAGGCACCTTAAATATCACCTCGTTTCCAAACCCCTGCCATGAGCAGGGACACCTTCCACTATCCCAGGGTGCTCCAAGCAAGCCCCATCCAGCCTGGCTTTGGACACTGCCAGGGATGGGGCAGCCACAGCTTCTCTGGGCAGCCTGTGCCAGGGCCTCAGAACCGTCTGAGTAAAGGACTTCTTCCTAGTATCTAACCTAAATCTCTTCTTTTTTTCATTTAAAATCATTACTCCTTGTCCTTTTCACTGCCTGTCTGTGTAAAGGGTAACTCTCCCTCCTTTTTGTGAGTCCCCTTTAAGCWCTAGAAGGCTTCTCTCTCCAGATGCATTTTGAGGCAATTCCATGTATTTTTACATAAAGGACTGGATTCAGAAGAAAGTAGGAGCAGCCCTTTATGGCAAAAACATGGGATTTTTTTAAAAGGGAGAAAATAATAAATCTTCAGTTCTAAAGATGTTCCCAAACTGTTTGAAAACATTACTGAGACCATATTGCCATATTGCCCTTAAATCCTCTCACTGGCATTGTGGAAAAGAAAAAAAAATTAAAAAATCAATTTATGAAATTTAAAAAAATTTCATCTGCTGGAGGAATGATGATAGTCAGTTTGTAAAAGCATACCTGAATGCTWGGCAAAAAACAAATGCCTACCTGGAAGAATTTATAATTAGCAATAAATGTTCAGGTCCAAGTTTAAAGGATTTGYGATACTAATGAATGCAGTGCACATACAAAAGAAAGCAAAAGGCATAGATTTGTAATGCAGATGAAACAGCAGTCCAATCTTAAAATGAAAACTCTGAATCATAGAAGCAAGTTCCTGGCAGAAATTGGAAAGATGGAAAGGATTCCAGAAATGTAAATGCAATCTGAGATCATTGTCTGCATGTCAGTAGTTCTGAACAACCATCAATAAATTCACTTGATACTAAAAATGAGCTATTGTATTGGGAAAGCACACATTGTTCTTTTGCCAGAATAAACCGTAAAAGAAACGCGATGAATTCCTCCATTTTACCATAATATCAACATTAATCCCAGAGGAATGTGTGATCCCTACACCTGACTCAAGAGTGAGTGCAGTGAAGGGACACCAGCTGGCAAGGCATGCATTGCAAAAGGGTAGGCTGACATTGTGCTCACAGTTCCTTATGGCAAAGAACAGCCATAGCTCCTCTCTGCTTCCAACTTGCAATGGAGCTCACAGAAAGGAGGGGGAGAAAAAGCATGCTCTAAATGTTTAGAAAATATCAGTATTCTGAGGACATTTAAAGAAAAATGGACAACCTTCAGACTGTCATTAAAGTAAATTAAGAATAAATCATGGAAATAGGTGTGTTCTGACACTGCCTAGAGTCCTTTCCATCACTGTCATTCTCCTTTGCGACTGCAGTAAAGGCACTATTTCTCTTCTGCCTCTTATATCATCCCAGCCTGCTGACTTCAGCTCTCTGGGGCCAGCTGATTAAATTAAGACCTCACTCAGGTAAATCTATTCCCCTCTTTCAGCTGGCCATGTCCAGCATTGTAACTTGATTGGCGTCTATAAATCGGGCAGACTGAAATGTATTAATTCGTTTATTTTCTTACTATTGACTTAACCAAAAATCTAAGGTAAGATTTAATGCTATCAGAGAGACTGTTGGTTTTTAAAAGCTTTCCTCTCAGTGACTGCTTAATGCACTACATAACAAGCGTTAAATAATACATTAGAGAATTCTGCCTGTATCCTTTCCAGGGGAAAGACTACATTCTGAATTCTCTCTCTGCCTTCACAGCAGAGGATCTTCCCATGCTATTCATGGCCAATTCTAATTTGGGATCTAATTGTGCAAAATCAGCATTTCATTTAAAATGCTCTGTTTTCTCCTTTCTTAAAAATAAATAAAAATAGTTTAACTTTCATTTCAGTTCAAAATCTTTTTCAATCCTGTATTTAGCTTTTAAGGCACAAATATCAGCAGTAAAAAGAYTTCGTGTTTTATTCCAGTTTTCTCAGAGTTCCTGTTGCTTACTCACTCCACGATTTTGGCTGAGAATCTGAGTTAAATGAGTTTTTCCTCTTAAATCTTTTTCTCTGAGTCAGAGATGGTTATGTTCAGTCTACTACTGACATTCAAAAGGCAAAAAAGACTGATCATGCTAGGAAAGAAGAAAGTGTCAGTGTGAAGACTAGCACAGAAATAAAACTTCAGTCTCAACACAGCAAACCCCAGATGTTCAGCACCATGAATGCAGCCCCCAGAGTATGACTTCATAAAACCAACCAACCAAACCACACAGCTTTGGTCTGTTCTTCTATTTACCTTCTGCATTTTAAAGGCRTTATGGTTCCCCATTAGAAGATTTCTCCATYRCTAGAAAYTTCCTTCCACCATSAGTYCCTCTCTCCTTTCCAGAAATGGAGWGGTTAAACTCTTTGAAGGCTTCAGCTAACCTCAGCCTGACAGTTGTGATGGTTTTTTGGACACTGCCATGTGAATATTGTTCTTTCTATGCTGTTTATTKACCACTGCACTGTGATGGTGATACAGCCACTGCAGTAGCTACTGTGCTGTTYCCTGATCCAGGCTCTCAGTGAGAATATTCAATCCTGCCAAAAAGGGTGCTTAGTGAAGGCAGCTGACTGCCAAAGCAGCCGTTCTGAGCAGCCTTTCGGGACTCTTGCCGAGGACGGGGTCTGCTGGGGTCAGTGAAGATGGCTCAGAGTTCCTCCAGGCCCCGTGATTACAGCTCAGTCAGTGCAGGGGATTGAGTCCACCTCCTCAGCTGAACTCTCATCGGTGTTAACTGCTGCAAAATTCACATCTTGACAGTATAAACAAAACACACAATGACTTGCCCTCGCTGTTTAAAGCGTTCAGCATTATTTTCACCTCGGAAATGTAACCGCAGATTGCTTCCCAGTAATGCACGTGCCGCTCCGACGGCACCGAGCTACTCATAAATACTTCTATGGATCAATACTACTCCTCAGAGAGACCAGCTTAGGATGACAGGGAGAACCAAACTGTCACTGACATCTAATTTAGGAACAGGAAACCTCCCCTACAGTGAGGGCTAATTATGCCTTTCAAATGCATTCATACATGTTAAAGTACACCTTAATCGGAGTCTGTAAAGATACTGGGGCAAAACAATAAAATTGTTTTAGGTTATTAGCAGGTCATCAGACAGAAGTTCAAGTTATATTGGCACCCAAGCTGTCATTCCCCCTCCTAGCCAAGTGATCTGCAGTTTGCTACTGCTAGGGATTATCACAGATATAACTATTTATTGGTGCACTTGCATGCTATTGCTCTCCRGTGAATGGTATCAGCATGGTCTGCTCTAATCTGTTCATGTTTCCTGCTGTCCTGCCAAGGGATGAACAAGTTCAGCTACTTAATRGAAACCTCTTTCCATTTTTGTCCTTCTCCTGATCTGATTTGAGCTCAGTCATTTCCCTGTGGTTRTAAATGATGCGACCTCTGCTCGTCAGGTGCTGCCCTTGTGGCTGCCCAACAGCCTGCGTGCCTCAAAGGCTACAGAWCCTCTCACCAGAGAGGGAACAGCCCCTATGAGGCGATGCTGAATAAAAACAAACCTGCCAGAGCACTCCTGTAAATGTTAATTACAGCAGCCTGGTTTCTAATGGAGCAGGGCACTGACAGCAGGGAATCCATGCTCATCAGTCCACTGTGCCCATAACAAAGTGGGGATTCTGGACACGTTTCCATCCGTTTTAACCATGAGCTGCTAGAGAGAACTTCCAACCCAGCTATTTGGGGACACAAAAGAGGCAAAGATGGTTTATTTCTGCTTTCCCACACTAATTACATCAAGTCAGACCTGTCCATTTCTTTCTAGACTTTCATGCAAACRCTGTGCTTTGAAAAGACAGAATGTCAGCATCTACGATAGCAAATTAATGCCTTGCTCTTGAATGCCTCATCATGGATGTAATGACACTCATAATGCAGGTCTGAAGTGAGCTGGTCAGCAYCTGCAGTTACTCTCCACGTTGGAGCTCAGTTGCCTGATAAATTTCCCTTCGATCACAGGCTTGGGTTTGGCTGACAGCTTCATAAGAAAATTAAAGCTAGGTGCAACTTGGTGGAACAGGCTCTTAAATTACAGTAGATGCTGCAGTGTTATTATTAGCTTTTTATCACCTCGGGTAGCAAAAGCTGAAATTACTTTTACATATTCAAAGGAAGAAGCTCTGAAACTGCAAAACAATGCTGTYGCCATAAAATGTACCAACAATTTCCAAATAATCCATTATCTTGACATTAAGACCAGCACTAATTATTTCCAGTTACAGCTGCAGCAGACAAATGGAAACAGGAATGCTGTGGAAATGGGAATGTGAGAACTCCTAAAGTATGATAACTCRTGATGCAATTCTCCAAATTCAGGAGTCTGTTGTTGTCATCTATATAATACAAAAGGTGGGTGTAATGTATGCTTTTTGGAGCCAGAAGAAGGGAGCAATGAACAGCTCTGCAGCTTCCCATGTATGTACTGTTCTACCATTTTCTATT